CTTTGCTTGTTTATGCGAGCATTTGCTATAGTGCTAGTAACTGCTTGCTGCCACAATGCCTACGACTATTACTACTGCTACCACCACCACCACGACGGCGACAACAACTACTATTACGACAACAACAACAACAACAACAACTACTACTACTACTACTACTACGACTCCTACTCCTACCCCTACTCCTACTCCTACTCCTACTCCTCCTCCTACTCCTCCTCCTCCTCCTCCTACTACTACTACTACTACTATTACTACTACTACTACTACTACTACTACTACTACTACTGCGACTTCTGCGACGACGACGACGACTACTACTACTACTATTACTACTACTGACTGCAGCAACACTCATCCCCAACAAAGCTATATGGGCTTCTGTGCACGTGGAGGAGGCGAATTGCTGGTGCTGGTGCTGGGTGCCGGGTGCCGGTGCTGGTGCTGTGAGCTGGTGGTGGGCTGGTTGCTGTGAGCTGGCTGCGCGCGTGGTGGAAACAGGGTGCCGGTGCTGGGTGTGGGCTGTGGGCGCGTGGTGGAGACACGGCCCCGGTGCTGGGCGTTGGTAATGCGCGTGGTAGAGACAGCGGGCACCGGTGCCGGTGCTGTGCTGGCAGCGCGCGTGGTGGAGACTGGGCGCCGGTGGTGGGCGCTGGCTGCGCACGTGGTGCTGGGCTGGGTGCTGGTGCTGGGGGCCGTGAGCTGGCGTGCCGGTGCTCCGTGCTCGTGTCCGCTTCTGACAGTGAAGTGACAACAACCGCTGCTTCTGACAGTGAAGGCCGCTTGCAGCAGTGAAGGGCGACCAAGCGCCGCTTCTGACAATGAAGTGCCAGCAGTCATGGGCCGCATGAACTTATGCACGCAACATCACGCGGTGTTGTCGCTTGAGCATTCTTTGTCTATTAGCGCTGTGGGGTATTTACACTGTTCAGGTTCTGTTTTGGCCGACGGCTGTGTCAAGGGCTGGACTGTTTGTGCGCATACTTTTGTACGTATAATGTTCTATGCGCACACAACCAGTGTTTCAGCATGTTTCAGCATGCTACACACACAAGTCGCACTGGATTCTGCTTGGCCTTGGGCGAGTGAAACCTACGGGCTTTGCCGTTTGTGCGCATACTTTTCTGCGCATAAACTTATACGCAGTAAGTATGTCCAGGACTTAGAGATGGATCCAGGTTGGCATCGACTACCAAATGGTGTGGTTGTCTCCAGTGACCCCATTGCACCCCGGCTGAGCGATCCCAAAGATAGCATTGAGAAGGCCTACAAGTCGAGATTTGCGCTGTTGAAGGAGAAGTATGGTCTATGGACACAACTGGAAAGAACAGGAGTCTTCAGGAAGATTGGCGTGAACGATGAACCTTAAAGGACGTTCGTTTCTTTGCACCAAGCAAATTCAAGGACTACCGGGAGCCTGAATCTGAAGTTCCCATTTCGCGATTTCCTGGACCACTGAATGGTCAGAAGACGATGCCGAGGAGATTGAGGAGATGGAGCGTCAGATTGACAATCGTGACATCGAAAAATTGGTCCTTGCAAAGCATCCTCATGAGGTAGAACCTGATGAAACATTTTTTGCAGAGAAAACTTCCGTGAAGGATCTTCAAGTTGCATGCAAAGAATGGAACCTTCTTTTCTCTGGGAGCAAGGGCCGCAACTTGGAGAGGCTGATGAACTTGAAGGTCAAAATAGAAACACAGATGCAGTTGTCTATTGCCAACAAGATCTACGAAGAGCAGCAGCGGCTTCCAGTCACAATTGGGCAACCGAAACTCGCCAGTTTGGCAGACCAAGAGCGGCATTTTGTCACTCATATGCCCCATGCTGGATGGTGTCAAGCATGCGGCGTGCGTTGCCAGTCGGGCCAAAGAGGACAAGCGTGTGAATTGAGAGGAACAAGAAGACCAAGGAAAGAATCTCATCCAGATGGACTTTTGCTACACCTACACTGGTGAAGATCAACGAGGTGACGAGCGGACCGTTGGCAAGGTACAAGAACGGCAAGATCAGTATGGTACATGCTTGATCCTGACAAACTCAGAGACGAAGGCAGTACATGCAGTGCCTGTACCGTCAAAGGGAACAGCCAGTCTGAAGACCGTCGCGGAAGAAGTGATCAGGTTTGCGTTGGAAAATTCTTCCTATGACCAATGCATCTTTCAAGCGGACCCTGAAAGAGCTACACGGCAAACCCTGGGGTCAGTTCAACAGTTGAGAAGTGTGATGGGCCTCAAAACAGAGATCAGAATGACTGGCACAGGTCAGCACGCTTCCAACGGACAAGTGGAGGGCCGTCCAGACAGTACGTCGGCTGGCAAATTGCTTGAGAACCTTTGCTGAAGATCTTGCCCGGCTTCGAATTCTTGGTTCCTTCCACTTGTACCCATTTTCTTGATCGACAGATTCCGTGTGCTTGAACGCTGCAACAAGACGAGTTTTGAACTTGCAACGGGTCACAACAACCATGGAAAGTTGGCACTTTTTGGAGAGAGTGTGCTCTTCAAGAAGATGGTCAAGTTCAAGGGGAACAATGTTTTTGAACAAGGAGTCTAGACAGGCAAACACCCCTGGAACGACACCCACGTGATCCTCACTCCTGATGGCGCATTCGAAGCCAGGACTATCCGAAGACTGGCAGTTGGAGAGAACTTCATCGCCGCGGACATTGTGATTGCGAAGGGCCTCAGGGCATTTTGATGCGTCATGCTGGACAAACTCAGCGTACGAGACAGCCCAGGCTAGAGATGGAAACTGACGACAATGAGATGAGGCAGATCGCCACAGATGTGGCATCAGGGGTCTCCAGGAACACCGGCTCCAGGAACTCCAGCACCTCAACTTCCATCAGCTGGCGTGAAGAGATCACTTGAAGATGGTGAGGAAGAGGAACATGAGCCCAAACGACCTGATGAGACTATTTTCCCGCGCAGGCCTTGGTGGCACGGGCTCGGCTGCCCTGTGTGAAACACCGTGGACCGTGGATCGTTTGCGTTCCAACCGGTTTGCTTCATGCCCAATGCGTTTTCAATGTTGTTCGTGCAGTTTCTGTGTGCTGTTGCGAGCCCTAATTGTTGTTGCCAGCTTGCTAGGTCTCATTGGTTCACCCTGAGCAAGAAGGGGTGTGAAGGAAAGATGTGCCTTTGCTGGGCGCGTGCGTGCGGCCACGCCTCCCTGGCCTCCTTCCTCACGCTGCCCTGAAAATGCCGGCGGCAGCACCTACCGAGTCTGCAGACAGAAGGTGTATGTGAAACAACACATGTTTGAGCAAAGGCAGAGGTTACATGGCATCATGACGCGCAAAGGAAGAACTGTGTGGATTTGGTGTTGTGGTAGGCACATGGATCGTCGGCTCACGTGCAGCGCGTGGGCGTGCTCGAGCCCCTACAAGGATTGTTTCCATATTCTGTATGGCAACGGTTTTGTGATTGTGCGCAATACCTCCTCAGGGGTGGGTTTGTTTTCTGTTTGGCTGTCACTTTGCCAAGCGATGTGTGATGCAGCCATGTGTGGACGTCAGCTCAACGACATGTTTTGATCAAACCCCGTACTTCACATGCCCATCGACCCCCCACACTGCCCTACGCCCACCCACGCCCTACATGTGCCGAGGGGACAGGACCGAGGCGACAGACAGACCAGCTGACCAGCTTAACATGATGGCGAGACTTGTCGGGTTCAACGGTTGTTCCCACAATGTGGCTGGTAGAGGCACCCCTCGATAATCTGGCAAATCCACGCCATCATGCTACCGAGTTAGCGTTGTGCCGCTGCGTGGGCCAAAGTTTTGCCCCATGCTTGGTTTCCTTCGGCCTCGCCTTTGGCACCTGGTGGCTTTAGCGCTGCTGGTGGCTTGGTGGGTTTAGAACTTTTTGGGCGCAAATTCGGAACACATGGTCGGTTTGGTTGTTTGGTTGGTTGGCTGGCTGGCTGATTGGCTGGCTGGCTGACTGGTTGGGTGGTTGGTTGGTTGGTTGGTTGGTTGGTGTCAAACCGAGTATCCCACACGGAGTTGTTGTGTCACGTATGAAATCCAATCACTGTGGTTGTGGCCTGCAGGTGGTATGCGCCACTTGGTTTCAAAGCAGGCGCTTGCATTCCATGCCGCAGCTCACGCCTCTTGGTGGGAAAGTCGCCATTTTGCTGACATCCACAATTAATAGATCTATTGTTGTTGGGGGCATCGCGGGAGATTTTATAAGATAGGTGAGTAGTGAATGATCGAATCGACCTCGCTAGAATCATCACTCTGAGAAAGCCCAAAGGGGGCATGTTTTGATGTATTCTTTGGCTGCCCTTGCGTGGTCTAAGATGAGGGTGGTGGCACACTCATGTGGTGTGCCCGGCCGGACTGTTCCACTTGGCCCAGGTATGAGCAGAAGAATGAACTTCTGGCCGATGCGGCAGCCGTGGTCGAAAGGTTCGGCAGAAACTGGGCCCCTGTGTTGGCTGCTTTCACCTGGCCAGGTGCCCAACAACCACGGGGAACCCCAAAACCTAAAGGCCAAACCGTTGAAACGCGGGTGGCACCCCAGTTGGCCCGCGGAAGCTTCAATAGCAGTCCCATCACACAAATCATGTCAAATCAATCAGAACCCGTCCGGGAAGAAACCATGCATCATCTAAGCAACCCTTCGCTGACCAACGAATCTGCACTCTGCACCAACACAAGGTGATTCTTTACAAAAACCCTTCCGGCTCCGCCGCATTGACCCCGGGCAGCTGAGCCAACCCCTGAGCCCCCCGCGCGCGCGCGGAGGCACAACGCCGAGCGCGGCTTCGCCGGGCAGGGCCCGGACCCCTCGGGTCCCGTGGATCGGCCCCTGGGCGGCACCGGCGCGTGGTGCGTCCGCGTCGGGTGCGACGAACGAGACGGGCGGTGTGGGACGGATGCAGGTTGACCCAGTGTGGCCCCACGAGGGCAGACCCGGCAGTCCACCTATGGCCATTCTTGTGGAAGCACCTGCTCCATCACTTTCCATGGCTCTTTCCGCGGCCCGAGCTGTTCATCAACCGTCATGTGGGGCCACCTGAGCCGCCAACCCATGCGGCCGCTCTCCCGCGCGACCCGCGCGGGCGCGGCCCTGCTTGCCGTGATGGTGGCGAGCTTGGCGGGGCTCACAGGCGAGGACGGATGGACGCGTGGTCAAGTAGCCAACCACTGGTTGGGTAAGAGTCATCGAAGTGGAACATTGCATCGTGCATCATATGTTTTGGGATGGCCGGCCGCTCGTTTTATTCTTGGCACAGGTTTTTTTGGTCGTTTTCTGAAGTTTTTGAAGCATGGTCCATGGCCTGCGGAAGACCAATGTCCTCACTTACATACCAGGATCCCGACTTCACAGGTCACCACCGCCGCGACTTGAAAACGCCTACCAAAGCCTCCATGTCGGAGATTTGTTGGTTTCGGTGCTGGTCTAGTTCCTTTGGTGCAAAGTTGATTCACGGTGCACCTCGTCAAAGCCGATGCCGCTGCCTGGAACTGTATAGCCTTGGCTTGGTTCGGGGGGATTGGCCAGGTTCCCTTGTCAAGAATCACGAAGCTTGTCGTTCAACACCCTGCTCCTAGAATGGAGCTAGTGTGATGCCTGGAAGTCACCCAGGTTTCAGCTTGTGACTTCGGAAACTGATGCTTTTTGTTCAGAACCATGGGTCCTGTGCCATGGTACTTGCCTCATCCGGCCGCCCGCCCCCCCCCCGTCGAGGCCACTGCTTCGTCGCGACGGGCTCGCTGGGGCGGCCGCGGGCCGTGGAGCACATGGCCCGACAAGCAGCCGGGGGGCCCTACCTGGGCATGGGCGAGGAACAGGGAGCCCGGCGCCTGGAGACGTACCTGGTGGGGTTGTGGCGCTGAGGAAGTTCCGATCACTGGTTTGTTTCTGACAAATGCATGGGTCTTCTCCTCGAATGCCAGGACATCTGAATGGGGAACTTGGGTGAATGTCCCGACCATTTGTATTACAGTGGAAACTTCATGCTGACTCCGGTGACCGAGCCACATGGACCAAGTGCTGTGAACACCTGGTGCCTCACAGACAGAACTCCTCCACCCACCGTGCAGAGAAGGCCCTTCTCCCCGGCCCAGCGGCAGGCTCGCCCCGGCACCGGAGGGTCCAGCGCCCGCTTCCACAGGTGAAGAGAGTACGAAAGCGCTCGAGTGCGAGCGTGAGTAAGCCAAAGGCGCGGGGTGGGGCCAACTGGGCACGGTGGCCATTTGGGGGTCCGCCTTGGGCGGGTGGTGCCATGAAGCTGTTTGGTAACTGAGTACTTACTTAGAAGGACAAGCCGCCCTGGTTCCTGTTTCTGTCTTACAACTCGGAGCAGTTGTTGACCCAACGTAGAACTTCAAGGGGGCGGATATGATCTACCATCCTCACACGCCTCCTTGCTGCGGCTGAATGAACCCCGAAGCTTGACGCGGTCCAGCACAACGACCATCCACGAAGGTACTCTCGAGGAGACTTAATGGATACCGTGAGGTTCCAAGAGCCATTGCTTTAATATTGAATATGCTTTAATTTTTGATAGTCACTAGTCTTTACCGAACAACCATTGTTGCACTAAGGATTTGTATTATATTATATATATATATATCTCCAGCTCAACCAATAAAAAACACAGTTTTGGAAGGCTAAGTGATATGGAGGTGGCCTGTGAATCTGTGCATTCTTCTTGTCACATGCCTTATCACATGTGCCACGCGTGGAACATTGCGGCCAGTTTGGGGGGGGTTGAGAGAGGCTATCGAAGTTGATTCCTCCTTTTCACTAGCAAAAACTCTAAGATGTAGCTTCCTTACATTGAGAAATCGGCGGGGCCATCAGTTGGAACTCATGGAGATCAAATTTGCCAGGCTGAACCTGAGGGTCTTAGTCACATGATCAAATCATCCAGTCTTAGCCTTGAGGTCTTTAGTCTTGGGTCTCTTGGTCGAAGGGTCATGACCACCAACAGAGGTGGAAGGACACGACGGTTCGACCCTACATGCATTTAGGAAGCCGTCCTAGGTCAGGTCACTGGATACCTCTCCTGGCAGAGCCCGTCTCTGAGTTTCACTTTTCCTTGCTCTGGATGGTCTCCCCAGCTCACCTGGAAGCCCCAAGCCCAAGCCATCTGGGGCTGGGGGGTTGTGGCAGGTCAAGGTGAAGAAGCTAGGAAAGTCGAAACAAGGCCCACATGGGGCACGTGCGGCACGTGGCGGCACGTGGCTGGCGCGGGGCGAGCTGCGTGTGGTCTCGGTTTCCGCGTGGTTAGTCCGGGGGGATCTGGAGATGAGTAGGGTGAAGCCTCCGATGAGCGATCTTTTCACCACTCCTTTGGTGGGGAGGGGGTCCGGAGTTCCAAGTTTCTATACCAGCCCTTCAAACCTGGGCAAGCACGGTTGAAAAGAGATTGGCGACTGAGCCAGGGCGTCGCCTCCGTGTTTCGCCCGGGGGGGTCGGGGCATGGCGAAAGCACCTCGCCTCTGCCTCGCGAAGACCGGCTGAAAGCAGCGCAAGGATCCTCCGAGGACAGCGTGTGGGATTATATCCAGGAGAAGGACAAGGCGGCGCCTGATGTGAAAGACCAAGAAGACAGAGGGCGGGGGGGGGGGCAGCTCATCTCCTTTTCAGCCCATCCACCGGCTCCGCCTCGATGCCAAGCGTAAGAAACAAGGGGCAGCCCGGCCCCCCGCACCACCGTCCAGGCCCCTCGCACCACCTGCTCCGCCCCCACCACTTGTCCCAAACAGAGCGTCTTTGGGCCCCACCCACCCAGGTTTTCAGAGCTCCATGGACTCTCCCATTAGGGTCCCCCCGTCACCTGCGTCCTTCAGGTCACTGGAGATGGTCCGCCCACCCTCCGCGTGTCCGGCTCCAGGCCGCCTTAGCGGAGGGCGCCTTCATGGACACCTTCTTTGGCCAGGCCGTGCAGACGGTGGTGCCTCGGCGGCGCAGTGGAAGAACGTAGGTTGGGGGAGAGCAGTTGAGCACATAGCAGGTGGAAGTGATGAGGGGTTTCCCACTGGGAAAGCCTGTTTGTTTTCCAAAAGCGGAGTGTTTCAGTTTGACCAAGTGCTCCAACCTTTTGACAAAACCATACGAAACCATGGAGTTGATCAGTCCTTGATCCCCAAGAACCACGGACCTCCACCCAAACCGAGCACCACATTGAGTGCCGAGCGTGTGGCCGCGGACCGGAGCACGCCCCGTAGAACGACGGACCTCTTCGCGCGGCACCGCGCCGTTCGTCCGAGCCCGCGGCGTTCGGGGGACGAGACCCGAGACCTACATCGGCATCTTCGGGATCATCATCTGGGAGATCTATTTGAATACGTTCCTCAGCTCCGGACCTGGACAATTACTGTGCCGGACCGGGTCACGTTCTGGTTGCAGTTCTGCGGGGTGGGGGGAAGGAGGGCTCGAAAGGAGTGGGCGGCGGGTTTGGTGTTTCGTATTGGATGGGAGGATGGGAGGCGTTGGCGTTTGGGAGCAGTTTTTTGTGATTGACGAACATTTTGCAGTGCATTTGTGAGGTGATGAGGTTATGATGGCATATTTTAGGTTCTTCAATCCGTCTGTGGTGCCTTTGGCTCCTTATTTTGGGGTGTAGGTGCCACAGGCCTGTGCAGCCTGCGCAGTAGATCCGTGAGTGCATCGGGACCACTGGGTCTCCGCTGCAGGTTCCCAATAGCTGTGAGGAGTCCTGAATAGGATGGTAATTTGCCCAAAACCTCTAGTGACGTGATTTGTGATGCCCTACTTTCTTCATCGACAGTGCTCACTCTTAGTCTACATCGAAGGTGCCCAGATTCCAACTCCGGCCGTAGAGTCTCCCCTCGTTGGCTCCTTTGGGGCGGAATGACTCCATCGTCATCCTCCCGCACTGAATCCCATCGTCTCCTCAGCGCCCCGAGGATTTATCCCCGAGCCTCGCCGACCTACAACCCCATCAATCCCAGTGCCATGTACGACGACTCCGGCCAGGCCGGGTCGGTGGCGGGATGGAAAACGGAGCCCGGCTCCTTGGGGGATCGGTCCTGGTGGCTGTGCGAAAAAGCTGTGTGGGGGACATAGGAACATACAGAAACTAGATGAGTTTTGATTGGACTTCATAAATTTGCGTTTTTTTTTTGGGGGTTGTGGATGGCACCACTGTCCAAATCTTTTTCTGCTGACCTTGATAAGTGGATCCGTTCCTTTTTACTTCACTGGAGTTCCTACCTCCAGCCTCCAGGTGGCCTACGACTAGAAGCCGCGCGCGTGGGCCACCTCGGCCCTGCCCTCGAGTCCGAAAAAGGAGTTCGACCCCCCCCGGGACCGGCGTTGGGACCGAAGAGGAGTCACCACGAAGGGCGTGAACGGGGCGACTTTCATCAGGGTGCCGGTTCCGGTTCGGGCGGACGTGGTGGTGCCCAGAACGTCCGTCCCTGGATGGGAGTGAAAAACCACCCAACTGCATGTGACTCCTGGTAGACATTCCTTAAGTAGGGGAGGCCCTGTACCTAGAAGGTCGTTGGATGGAAGCGTCAGGAAGCGCGAAAGGGGCCACTGGCCACACGCGCGTGAAACAGACCTAAGTGCTTCTTGTTGGAGTTGATGTCCAAGAGCCTCAGTTAAGAAAGGGCAGGGTCCTGGTCTGTACGGGTGGCGAGAGGGGTGCCGTCCGCCAGATGGATCTTTGATCAAGAGCCACTCTGTGAAGATGTCCTTTTCACTGTTCGCTTCTTCCGAAGACGGGTTGTAATGAACTGTTGGGCCTCATTGGATGCCTGGAGCCTTTTTGTGACCCCTGTTTTGATAGGAAGTTTGACCATATATTGGATCGTTGATCCTCCAAAACAGGGGTCACAAAAAGGCTCCAGGTGTACGTGCATGGGAACTTGGATGATCCAAAAGTCTCCCGCCCCAGCGGTGCTATGGTTTCTATCAGGCCAGCGGTGTTATGGGGGAGCCTATTGGCCCCAAGCAGGTGGATTTTTCCGTTGAGAGCTAGCTCAAAGGGTGTCCCCCAAACCTGGAATTTTTTGGGAGGCCTCATCTCCTCGCACCTGTGTGAGGGGTGTCGCTCTCGGTGTCGGGTACAAGCTCGAGCTGATGGGCCTTCACCTCGCTGGAACCGCTTTCGCTCAGGTTCGCGTGGGAACCTCAAAGCTGAAGTCGACGGACAGGGTCTTCACCCACCGGGCCAGCGCCGAGCACCGCGCCGAGCACACGCGGGCGGGCGCTGGGCCGCCCGTGCCACTTGCATGCCGGGAGAGAAAAAGGAGAGGGCGTGGTAAGGTGAAGCTCTATGGTGAAGCAAAGCGCTCTTTTGGTGGTCCTCTCCGCGCAACCGGAAAGGTTCCTAAGTGTCTAAAAGTATATTTTTGGTTTTTGTTTGCGGGGGTTAGGTAGCTTCTGGAAAGGCGTTTCGCCCGCACAGTTGTTCTAGTGACTGGTAGGGGCATGTGATGTGACCAACATGGTGGGTTTTCACGTGTGATGTGCGTGCTGGTGCCATGGGGGCAATCCAAGATTTGCGGAGATGCTTCTGAGAGCAGAGCTGCAATGTGTGGCCAAATGGAGTACGCTACACCTACAGCACGTTCATGGTCACAGAGCAGTACTTGTAGACTGTATACCTCGTATACGTATGACAACCTACGAGTGCTCCAGTGCTGCGCGCTGTTCGGCCCGGTTACCTGTGGTTCTCACACCTGCCTCTGCTGAGTGGCATTTGGCTCTCAGAACCTTCGGGGGGCCGCCGGATGCCGCCGGGCCATTTCTGGTGGTTTTTGGTAGCTAAGGGCAGCCGAGCTGTTCGCTTCAAGACCACCTGGACCTCTCCATCAAAGACAGGTCTTTTCCTGAAGGATTTCATTTTTTCATGCAATGCTACTTGATGGTCCATCCCATCTAACAAGCGGCCAGCGATTTCTGGCTGGGACCCCGGAAAAGCACGTCTGCCAAAACTACACACCTTCATGCTGCCATGGGCGCTTCCGAAGCGCGTGTGCTTCGAACGCTTCGAGCGGTCCTGCTGGCCCTTCATGTGGCCACGGTTCACACGGTGCGTGAGGGGCATATACCAGCTGCTGCACACCTCCAGCAGCATCCAGAGGACGGTGAACATGAGAATCAGATGATGTTCTCTTTTTGCTTCGGTGATGGGTTCTATTTCGGCCGTAAACGTAAGTGAATTGTCGCGGATGCAGCCGGAGCAACATCATGAAAGCCAGCCCTTGGATTAAGGGAGCCACTCTTGCTTTAGAAAGAGTTGGTGTGTATATTGTATATATATATACACATATGCATACACATGGGTTGATGCCCCTAACTGCACAGCTTCCGCCCACACATCGCTGCTTCCTCTACTCCTTTGGATTTGACAGCGTTGGCGGCATTCTCCCACCAAGCAGATGGACATATGTACTCATCCCCTCCAAACATGTCTTGAAAACCGGGAAGCTCTCTGTTTGGAGACCGCTATGAGCCTCTACCTTCGCACATGCGACCTTCCTCGTTTTAGTCTCTCCATAGGCTCATGTGAATGGGAGTGGGAGTTTCTGTTTGGGTGTCACCTAGCATGGCTGGCAAAGGCTCTCATGTGAGTAGCGTTCCATCGATGGGCACAGCCAGAGCCCCTTTGGCCGTTGAAACTTCGTCAGCGATTCTGAGACTTGGGAACTAATCCTGGCGAACTCACCTCTGTCATCACCACGCTGTCCTGAGTCCTCACATATGGGTAAAGTGACCCCACTGAAGGAGTAGGGTGTGCTTGGTCGACGGCTTCCCATGTCTTGGAACCTCTCGGAGGTTGTGCTCAGCAACATGGGAGTGCCAGTCAAAAATGTATCTATTCCATTTGGGCCGCAGATGCCTGTCTGTCTGTCTGTCTGTCTGTCTGTCTGTCTGTCTGTCTGTCTG